TGGTCTATCAGTAGCGCTGGTCTACACAACCTTCACACACACAAAGCTGCACAAGCAGATCAGCCCTCCCCCAGTCCCAGACACTCAGCACCCCCACCCTCTATGCAGCACACAACAGACATTTAATTCCACTCACTCACACAACACACACCCACCAACACGGCTAGGCAAGACTCTCAATGTGTATACACATTTGCGGTGTATGCCACTGTCCGTACCCAGGCGAATGTAAATATAAACGCTTAAACACACATCATCGCACTGATTCACATACAATGGCTCATACAATAAAAATACAAATTAGGGCAAAATGCATTTGCAAATATGCTGAAATAGATACAAACTCAAACCATGTGGTTCTCATAACAAATCTGAGCACATTTTCGCAAACTCAAGTAGGGGGAAAGGGAACCCACATTGTTGATCCCCTGCCAACGTGCCAGGCATGGAGTTAGCCATTTTGATGTATTAATTCATTTAATCTCACAGCAACCTTGAAAGGAAGATGTATTATTCCATCTTTATAGATGAGACAGCTAAGTTTCAGAGAGGTAAAGTAACTCAGTCACACAAGCCAGGGTCAAATATAAACCAAGATTTGTCTAACTTCATAGCCAATTCAGCATGCTATCTCCAAACACATGTGCATAGGCGTGCACGTGCATGCACACAGACACACTCAAGGTGTACCCTCCTTTGTACCTAAGAAGGTGAGTCTTGTCGTCCAGCAACTGCAGGGATTTTTGGAAATAAGCATGGAGTTGCCCAGATTCATACATTCCCTTCTGAGAAATGGCATTAAGTCATTCAACAAACGCTTGCTGAGTGTCTTCCATGTGCCAAATCCTATGTCAAATACTGGTTCACAAAGGAAATGCCACATTGTTGCCCTGAAGGAGTTCAAAGTGAAGGTGTGAGGTGTGAGGGAAACCTAAAGACAATACAGGACACACAAGAGATCCAAGCTCTAATGAAAGTAGGCCAAAAATGCAGGGAACCAAAGGGAAGGGAAGCTGGGTCTCCTGGAGCAGTAAGGAAGGCTTCTTAGAGGAGGCAGCCTGTGAGCTGTGGCATGAAGAAGGAGTGGGGTGGAGAGGGATTGGTATTGATTGGGAGATTGGTTGAGAGATTACCTAGGGCAGGGAGGCAGATGCCAGGACATTGCAGGCCCGGGGGATTTTATATGTCATCCCCCAGCAACTGGGGGAATTGAACATTTTTTACAGGGTGCCTGGGTGGCTCAGTTGGTTAAGCGACTGCCTTCAGCTCAGGTCATGATCCTGGAGTCCCGGGATAGAGTCCCGCATCGGGCTCCCTGCTGCTCAGCGGGGAGTCTGCTTCTCCCTCTGACCCTCCCCCCTCTCATGTGCTCTCTCTCTCTCTCTCATTCTCGCTCTCTCAAATAAATAAATAAATAAATAAATAAAATCTTTAAAAAAAAAGAAAATTTTTTACAGTGGGAAATAGGACCCCATTTGCATGTTAGAAAGAACGGACAGAAGGGAGGAAAGCTTGGACTAGGGAGATCATGCAGGAAGCTACCACCATAGCCCAGATAGGAGTTGGTAAGGCTTGATGTACAGTGAAAGGCATCTGGACAAGGTGAGGGATAGACAGGGATGGGGGAGTTGGGGTCTATCCTGGTCCTGAGAAAGAGCAATGCAACAGGTTTCTGACCCATGAAAATGTGATGAAAGCCTGGATTCTCTCTTAGAACAAAGCATATATGCATAGGCACACTATCTTTTGCACATAATTATAGGGGACTTATAATCTCTGAAGCCCCAGGTTAAGAACCCAGTTCCTTGGAATTCTAACAGGCAAAACAACATGGTGGTTAAACCTGTGGAGGCTAGAATCAGACAGCCTGCTTCATCATCTCAGCTCCACCACCTATTACCTATATGAGCTTGGGAAGGACATTGACTCTTTCCTTTTCTGCAAAGCAGAAATGAACCTAGCACCTATATTGAGGCTTGTTACAATAATCAAGTGAACCAATACATGGGAAGTTCCAGAATCTTGCTCAGGAAGTAGTACTGGCTGCTATTACTATGGGTTAAATCAGAGTGTTATTAAGACCCCACACACAGGGCACCTGGATGGCTGAGTTGCGTTAAGCATCTGATTTCAGCTCAGGTCATGATCTTGGGGTCCTGGGATTGAGCCCTGCATTGGGCTCCCTGCTCAGTGGGGAGTCTGCTTCTCCATCTCCCTCTGCCCCTCCCCCCGCACTTTTACGCTCACTCTCTCTCTGTCTCTCTGTCTCAAATAAATAAATAAAATCTTTTGGGGGCGCCTGGGTGGCTCAGGCGTCAAGCGTCTGTCTTCAGCTCAGGTCATGATCCCAGGGTCCTGGGATCGAGCCCCGCATCGGGCTCCCTGCTCAGCGGGAAGCCTGCTTCTCCCACTCCCCCTGCTTGTGTTCCCTTTCTTGTTGTGTGTCTGTCAAATAAATAAATAAAATCTTTGAAATAAATAAATAAATAAATAAATAAATAATAAATAAATAAATAAATAAAATCTTTTTTAAAAAAGACCCCCTCACTACACTTACTCCCCTTTGTACCCCACTTCATAGCTGGGGATCTGTTGTCTTCTGGTGTGGCCCTCCAGCCTGAGTCCTAGCACCCATTTTGCCCTTTCCCAGAATCCACTCCTTCCTTTTTGGCTGAGTCTCCATTATCCTCAAGCCTGGTTCTTAGAATTAACATTAACCTCTCTTCTAGGAGGAGGGAGAGGCGCCTGGGTGGTTCAGTTAGTTAAGCATCTGCCTTTGGGTCAGGTCATGATCTCAGAGTCCTGGGATCAAGACCCTTGGCAGGCTCCCTGCTCAGCAGGGAGTCTGCTTCTCCCTCTGCCTCTGCCCCTCCCCCCTGCTCATGCGTGCTCTCTCTCAAATAAATAAACAAAATCTTAAAAAAAAAAAATAAGAGGCGAGAGAAGAGGACATAGGCCCCATCACCATGGAGACCCAGTCCTTGCCTTTCCTATAAGATGACAGTGCTAGGAAGAAGAAGACATTTGATTTGGGGGAAGGGGGACCCTTCAGCATGGGGGTCCTTCCCCACTCTAAAATCACAGACTACCTCCTCACTGTGTCCTGCCAGCTCCTCTCTAAAATGCCCCAGGTCCTCATTTTCCATTGGCTCCTACCCCTACCCCTACCCCCATCCAGGTTTGAACAGGAGGTGGGGGCAGTAGATGCCAAAGTCATTGAGCTTAGAAAAGTGATGGAGAAGAAAACAGGATTTCCCACCAGAAGATCCACCACTGAGTGACTGTGTGACCTTGATGGGGTCTCCTACCCCCTGGGCCTCTGTTTCCTAATCTGTAAAATAACACTGGCCCCCCATCTTCATGGAATCTTTGTGAAGACAAAATGAGCTGGTGGTTAAAACTGGAAGCTGCAAACTCCAGTGTGGGTAGGAGTTGCTGTTAGTCCTCTTGGCCTTTGGGGCTCTGTGATTCCCCCTTCAGCTGGAGCTGACAGAGCCCAGAGGTCCCAGGACCCCTACAACTGGAGATTCAGGACTATCTGGAGCTGAGCAGAATGAGCTGCTCTTGGGAAGAGAAGGCCTGTAAGTGGGAGAGTTGGGGTTTTGTACCCCAGCTCAGAAGAAGCACAGAGGCTGTGAGGGAATTCCTAACTTGGATGAGAGTTAGGCGTCCAGTTTCCATCTCCCATCACCATTCTGGCTTCCATTCTGACATGGGACAGGTAACCGGTCCACAAGAAGCTATGGGGGTGCCTGGGTGGCTCAGTCATTAAGCGGCTGCCTTCGGCTCGGGTCATGATCCCGGGGTCCTGGGATCGAGCCCCACATCGGGCTCCCTGCTCGGTGGGAAGCCTGCTTCTCCCTCTCCCACTCCCCCTGCTTGTGTTCCCTCTCTTGCTGTATCTCTCTCGGTCAAATAAATAAATAAAATCTTAAAAAAAAAAAAAAAAAGAAGAAGCTATGATGATTGCCCAGAGGTGAGGCCAGGCCAGGCCACCCTGGGGAAGATCCAAAGCTGGTTCAGATCACATCATTAAGAACTTGAGTCAGCTACCTTCCTCCTGCCTTTTGAGTCCTCAAAACTATGCGGCCCTAGCATCACTCTAACTAGCCCTATAATGACAAGCAAGAAGAAAAACAGAAAGAGGACTGACGGCTGGCTCATGAGAGCTAGCTTTGCCAGCTCACTGGATCCCTGCCCATCTCTCTGCACAACTATCCTAGACTATCTGTTGACCTGTGTCTCCCTGACTTGTGAACTTGAGGACACAAGGAGTCTTATTAATTTCTCTATCCCCAGTGTTAAGTACTGTGCCGGACACACATCAGTCATTGTACCATTCCTTCAATAATTCTATTGAGCATTGTGCTAAGTGCTGGGGACACAAAGTTGAACAAGCCAGACCAAGTCTCTGCCCTCATGGGGCTCATTTTTGTTTGGTTTTTGGTGCCGAAACCCGTGAGCTCACATTTTAGTAAGGAAGACACACAATAAAGATGTAAACCATGACAATTATAAATTATGAAAAGTGCTGAGAAGGAAATAGAGTTTTGGATGGGGGGATGGACGTTACTTGAGAGATAAGTGACAGGGAAGATCTGAGATCTAAGCTGAAATATTAAGGATTAAAAAGAGCAAGGCCAAGAACATCTTTGCTTAATATATGTGTTGCAAGTATGGATGGCTAGATGAACAGACAATCAACCAATGGGGCGGATTCTAATGTGAATGAGAGTTATGGTTCAGTACGCAGTCCCTAGTGTGCTTAATTCAGGAGAGGAGGATGGGCGGGACTGGGGACCCAGGATTCCCAACCTGCTCTCCCAGAACTCTGGTTGAACCAGCCGACCTGGCCCAAGGGGCCGCTGGGGGGCGACCGAGAGCCCACTCATTTCCCTTTAAGGCCGAGGCGGAAGACAGACGGAGGAAGGGCCTTTGTGTCGGCGGGATAGAAATAGGCCCGCCCCTTTAAGAGGGCGGAGACGCTGGAGTGGCGGCCACTTCGAAAGCGGTCCCGGGCTCCGGCCGCCGGCTTCCCGGCGACCCTCTCTCGACCCCCTGCCGGGTCGCAGAGTTCTGTCTTTCCGACCTCGCACCAGAGACCCCGCAGCCCGGACTCCGACTCTCCCGCCTGGGACAAGTCCGAGGCCCCGGCGACCCCTCGAGTCGGGGCCTGCCTGGCTAACCCTCCGGCCGAAGGCCGCCCGCCGTCGCCATGGTAATGCTGCGCCCCGGGCCGCGGAGCTGCCTTCCGGCTTGCGGCCCCTCACTCGTGCGAGCTGCACGGCAGGGTTAGGGTTTGGGTCAGAGCTTGGTGGCTTCGGGACACCTGGGCTCTAGTCAGGGCTTGCCTGAGACCCTGAGAAGGTTCTCTCCACACACCTCCCTCTGGGCCTGTTTCCCTCCTGCTGCCTTCCATCTCTTCTTGGAGAACTGCTCATCGTTCTCGGTGTGCTCAAACGTCACGCCTCCAGAGCCGACCCCCTCCCCCTAGCCAGTACCCTCTGATCCTTGGACGCTGGGGGGTGGGTATGTCTAACTGTAGCTCTTGGCTGCTCTGGCATCTGGCGTTAGGCACAGCCCGCCGCGCTGGGCTTGACACATGCCTAAGAACTGGCTACAGCAGCCCTGCTGCCTAGAAAGAAGGAACTGTGGACCGGGGCATCCTGCCCTCCTGGGACGCTGGCTTTGGTGCATTGGATTAGATAGAAGGAAACCATTTGTTTCAGAAACAAGGCCACTGTACTGGGCATGCCTGGATTTATGGTAACCTCTCCTACGTTTGACATAGGTTCCCCAGGCCAAATCTTTGCGATGTTGCAAAATCCTTAGGCCCATGTGCACAGTGCTGAGTCTAAAGAATGACCCTTGCTCCCTTTGTCAGCCTCCCCCTTGCCTCCTCCTCCCTCTTGCAAGGCGAATGCGGATGGACCTGAGTGGATTATTTTACAAGAAAGGATTCTAAATCATGTAAATCTTTAAGTAAATCCCATCTCTTCCCTCCTCATCCCTTATTCCTCCTTCAGCACTAGCAAAAAAAACAAAAAAAACCCCAAACAAACCAGTATACCTGATGGTCTTGTTAGAATTGGAAGAAGCATAGTGAGGACAGAATGTACTTGCAAACAGTATCTCTCCTCCAACCTCAATTGCTTTGTTTTCCTTTCAGGCATGCAGTTTGCAGAAGCTGTTTACTGTGGAAGAAGAGTTTGAAGATGAGGTAAGGAAGTGTTGGTGATCAGAGATAGCAGAGGAGGTCTTGAGTTGTCAACACCCAGACCCAGAACATTTTGAAGCAGTCTGCCCCAGCCTCCTTTTACTTGACATGTATAGCTTTTTTTGTCTGTGACAGGCTGAGAGAAGATGAGACATGTAAACAACCTACTTAACTGTTTTAGAGACAGAAAAACAGAGCTGCCTAATTGGCATACCTTTAAATTACAAGGGCCCTTGCCTGGAAGCTGGGTCATGTGGATGATTCAGTTCACCTTTATGATGGCATGCTTGAGGTGGGAAGACAGTTTATGGAGAACCAGAGACAACACAGTTAGTGGATGACAGGAGACCTGGGGTCACCAAGTAGCTACGTGAGCCAGGGCAAATTACTTCATTCTCTGGCCTTCTGTTTTCTCTTCTATAATAGGAGGGGTGTTCTTTTGCCTCAGATGTGTTCTTCCCTTCCCTCTCTCTCAGAGGAGAAGGGATTAGACTAGATTGGAAGCTGGCACGTTAGAATCACTCCTGCTGAGACCCTGACACACACCAATTAAATTGGAATTTCTGGGGATGGGCCCAGGCAGGGCTATTTCTAATCTTGGGGTATAGTCAGAATCACTGAACTAGCTAACAATCCCCCCAGCTCTCTTCCCACTCAGATCCAATGGATATAGTTTCATCTGGGAGGTCCAAAATTGCTACCTGAAATCCTTTTCAGAAAGAGGCAGGATTTAAGTGAGTAAAACACAAAAAAGTAAGAATACAGCACCAACAACAACGGTGAGGTCTTGGCCTCTTGATTGCAGGCGAACATACATAGATACTAAACTACATTTATAGAGTAGAATTACTTTATTTTATCAATGACAAGCCATTCAAACTTACTTTTTGTCTCCCAGTGCTGTGCTTTAAAAATCATGTTTAGAATTTGTCGAGATGCCCCATCTGTACCTAGTATGGTCATGAATGCTGCACCAGGGACCCAAGCCCCACATTCCCCTTCCTTTGAAGCTTTTGGAACCTAAGGTTTGAAAGGGAAAACAGACCTTCCTCAGACCTCTTAAAAACTGGTCCCTGGGGGCGCCTGGGTGGGTCAGTCATTGGGCATCTGCCTTCGGCTCGGGTCATGGTCCCAGGACCCTGGGATCAAGCCCCGCGTCGTGCTCCCTGCTCAGCGGGAAGCCTGCTTCTCCCTCTCCCACTCCCTCCGCTTGTGTTCCCTCTCTCGCTATGTCTCTGTCAAACAAATAAATAAAATCTTAAAAAAAAAAAATTAAAAAAAATAAAAAAAACTGGTCTCTGGCATGTCTCATTCATTGAGGCCCTAAGACATAGTGACAGGGACACATATGGGTTCTAGTCCTGGTTCTGTGAAGTTACTTAACTTCTGAATCTCCATTTCTGCATCCGTAAAACAGGAATAATAATAACACCTATTAGGGCCATCGTGAAAATTCATTGAGAGAATTCTGGTAAAATGTTTATGTGGTCCCTGGCACCCAGTGCCATTTCAAATTGTTAGATGTTCTTGTCATCTCTTGGGGGACTTGAATTTTGTTTTTATGTAAAAATTCAAAATTGCCAGCTTTGTTGAAGAGATGTGTCCTTGTCTTTTTCAGCTTTGGAGATGTGTAATTACAGGCTGAAAAAGTGACTGCTAAGTGCCCCACTTGGGTCTTACCAGGTGATGGGAGGACTGCTGAGCCGGCAATGGGATTACGAGTGAAGGTCTCTGGGACACCTGGCTGGCTCAGTGGAGCATGTGACTCTTGATCTTGGGGTCTTGAGTTCGAGCCCCATGTTGAGCGTAGAGATTACACTTGATCTTAGCCAAAAGGCCGAGAAGCGATGAGCGTAGAGATTAAATTAAAAAAAAAAAAAGAGTTCAAGTTTCTGTTCCAAGACCAGTCCGTTTCCCCCTTCCCCAGGCAGATGAGATCATGTCTAAGAGTGAGCCCTTTAGGGGAAGAGGGATCCGTCAACCTCCAGGATCATCAGGATTTCATTGCTGCTGTAATTCTAATATTGTTATTGCTAAATCCCATGGTAGTCCTGCTGGAGTATGCTAACTCTCCTGATAATACACGAAGTAGGAAAAAACCTTTCCCTGGCCCAGACAGTCCAATGCAGCAGCAGAGGATGGGGGTGGAGGGGACCTTCCTGTCAGTTAAATCAGCAGCTCTGACTCAAAAACACCCTCCGAACAGGTCTGTTGCTCTTGAAGGTGTCAATCTCACCTTGCTTCCCAACTGGAATCCATACTTAATTTAACTTGCCTGAAAAGCTATATTTAACTTCTACCTATTTTGCTAGATCCTAGGCCTCTCTGGCTTACTGAAGGCTGTGTGTGTGTGTGTGTGTGTGTGTGTGTGTGTGCGCGCGCGCGCGGGATGCGGGGAGGAGTGGGTTGAGGATAGGCGGCATCACCAGCTGGAGAGACCCCTATTGCACAGGCTGGACACCAGGAAACTTGTTTCCTTGAGATGGGTGTGTGACCTTGGGTGATTTGATTCTTGGTGCCCTGGTATGTTTGCTTCTGCCTGCTCCCCCGCCCCCCAGGAGAAGCTACCTAAACACTTAGCCTTAGAAAATTTCTTTTTTTTTTTAAGACTTTTTCTTCAAGTTTTTAATTAATTAATTTGTTTATTTATGTTTAGAGGGGGGAGGGGCAGAAGGAGAGGGAAAGAATCTCAAGCAGACTCCCCACTGAGCATGGAGCCCAATGCAGGGCTCGATCTCACAACCCTGAGATCATGACCTGAGCTGAAATCAAGAGTCAGATGCTTAACTGACTGAACCACCCAGGCGCCCCTCTTCAAATTTTTATTTAAATTCTAGTTAGTGGGGCGCCTGGGTGGCTCAGTTGGTTAGGCATCTGCCTTCAGCTCGGGTCGTGATCCTGGGGTCCTGGGATCGAGCCCCACATCAGGCTCCTAGGTCAGCAGGGAGACTGCTTCTCTCTCTACCCACCCCTTGCCACAGCTCGTGCTCTTTCTCTCTCTCTCACATTCTCAAATAAATGAATGGAATCTTTAAAAAATAAAGAAAATAAATTCTAGTTAGTTAACATACAGTGCTAAAGATTTTATTTTTATGTAATCTCTACATGCAACATGGGACTTGAACTCATGACCCCGAGATCAGGAGTCACATATTCCACCAACTGAGCCAGCCAGGCACCCCTGAATGTTTCCGGGAGAAGTCTGGGGGTGCTGGGGCACCTGGCTGGTTCAGTCAGTGGAGCATGCGACTCTCAATCTTGGGACTGTAAGTTTGAGTCCCACATTGCATGTAGAGATTAATTTAAAAAAAAAATAAAATCTTAAAAAAATAAAATCTTTAAAAAAAAGTGGGGGAGTGGGCTCATGGGCAAGGTCAAACAAAGGTGGTGAGAGACCCCTACCATGGCCTTCCATGCCTTGGTTTCTTGCTTACATGTATCTGCGCCTACAAACATACCACATGCCTGAAACAGGAAAAGCAGACTGTTTCTTGATTTCTGGATGCCAAGACCCACCACCTCTGCTTCTTTGTAGGACTTCTTGTCTGCCGTGGAGGATGCAGAGAACCAGTTTGCTGGCTCGCGGCCTGTGAAGGCTGGGTGCCTGAGACCCGTCTCTTCCAGGCCACAGGACTCCGTGCAGTCACAGTCTTCTGGGCAGTTGCCATCAGGCCCCACTGCTCCTTCAGAGGCTTTGCGCCAGTCAGCTCTGGGACTCCGCCTTCCTACCTCCAGCATGCCCGGGGCCATCAGGGGTCCACCTTCCGTAGGAACAGCCCCCCTAAGGCCTGTCTTGACTTCTAGCAATTGGACTGGCCATCAGAGACAAGGGACACTGACTGAAGTGCTCAAAGAGCCAGCCAGACCCCAGACCTCCGCTTCCTGCTCCCTGCTCAGGTTTGAGAGCCAGCAACCAGTGACTGGGGGCTTCGAGGGGCCTGAACAAGATGAATTTGATGAGGTCCTGGCAAGCATGGAGCTGGAGGGGCCTGGCATGGAGCTGGACCTTGGAGTCAGCAGTAAGGCCCCAGGAATCCTGCCCACCTGGCATCAGGAGGACTCAGCAGTGGCTAAAAAGGCCCGGGTAGCTGATCTGAGCAGGTCTTGCCAAAAGGGGCCCATACCTGCTCCCCACATACCTAGTGTCCTGTCAGCCCACGATGAGCCTCCAGAGCCTGTTGTCCACTGTAGGACTCTACAACCCCCCTTGAGATCTGGTGCCACCAGCAACCTTCCCATCCCAACTGCTTCAGTGGTTCCTGCTCAGCAGCCCCCCTGGGAAGCCTGTCGGAAGGGCCCCCCAGTTCAGGCACCACAACCTCCCCAAGCGGCTGGCAGGCCTGTTCAGAGCAGCCCGCAAAACCATTTCCCCGGTCACTCATTCCAGTGTCCAAATGCCTCCATACCTGGCAAATCTCATTTTCCCGGACCACGAACTCCCAACTCGATCTATTCTACTCCCTCGAGGACTATCTCTGGATCATTTCCTCGGAGCCCCTTACAACCCCGAGCTCCAGTGTCTTCTGTCAAGTGTCCTCTCAGCACCCCAAAGAGCCCCCATTCCTCCCTGGCTCCCCAGGCAGTTCTGCAGACACCCATCGTCACCAACCACCTGGTGCAGCTGGTCACTGCCGCCCACCGGACACCCCAGCAGCCCGCCCACCCCAAAACTCGCCGCTTCCCCGGCCCGGCCGGGGTCCTGCCTCACCAGGTGAGGGACAGCTTGTCTTCGGCAGAAGCTGGACCTGTCCCGGGACACGGGAGGGGGGTGGGGGCGGGAGGGAGAAGCAGGCGTTCCAGTGCCATCCAGTCCCACAATATCCTTACTCCTGGGGGGCGGGAGGGAAGGAAGGAAGTGTAGAGAGAGGGTTTCCGAAGCTGCGGGAAGAAGTTCAAAGAAGTGGGAAGGAAGAATTGAATGCTCCAAAAGCCACAGGTGGGAGAGCGCTTCAGGTTCTGAGAACTTCACGACTTTCCTTTGTTGAGCCCCTCCTGTTGCTAGCCCTGGGGCAAGAAGATCCATTCACTTACATTTACTAAGGACTTGTATGTGTTGGGCGATTTGCTTGGAACTGAGAATGCAGAGGTTAAAATAGAAGTAGTTCCTGTCCCAAGTTGTTCACAGCACAGCAGAAGAAGCTGATGCAAAGGAACGATGATACGTAAAATGCGGAGTCACTGGGCTCCTTGGGCTTCCTGAGTGGGCTTTGGAGGGTCAGGGAGGAGGTTAACAGGTGTGTGTAGGAAGGCTGTGCTCTGGGAGGCATTTCGGCAGTGGGAAGACAGGAAAGAGTGTGTGCGAAGGCACGGAGGTGTAAGGGCAGGATGCTGTCGGAGGTACACTGAACAGAGCACTGTGGCCGGCGTGTGGGGCCCATGTGGGGAAGCTGCACTATGCTGACGGTTTGGATTTCAGCAGTGGTGGAGGGACAGTATCCATCAGACCATCTTGGATCAGATACCAGATAATGGGACCCTGAGGGTCTGCTCTGGTTGTGATTGGTGTACTCCTTTTCTCGCATTTTAAGGGTGGTTCAAATAATTTCTGCCCGTTCCTTGCTCTTTGCTAGCACTCTAAGGAAAATCCAAGGAGGCTGTCCACGTTCCTCCTGGGCTGGAGCTCTGTGGGGAAGGGGTAGGTTCCCGAGAAGGGACTTGGGGAAGGCTGCCCCTGGGCCTATCCCAGGCCTCTCTATCCGGGTCATTGCCTCCTTCAGGAAGCCCTGGGTTTTGCTCCTGGGCCAGCTCCAACTTCCTCACATTCCCCAAACAATCCCCAAAGCATCTTTTTTGAGCTGCCAACAAGGCTCCCGAGACTTCGTTAGGAGAGATGTGATATGTGTTAATTGTCCCTGACAGTTTCCTGAACTCATTATGTAACCCAGACAAGAAGCTGCACTGGTAGGTAACAGCTGCTGTGCTTGCTTCGCCTTCCCCTTCCCTCTCCCCTTGTAGCACAGTGAGAAGAATCTGGAGGAGATCGTGGTTTCCACACCCCAGACTCCGACTCACGGTGCTCGGGCTAAATTCCCGACAGAGGTAACTAGTTCCACGCAAATGCTGATTTTCTGGGCGTCGTTTAAGAGCGAGGGACATCCCCGCGGGTTCCAGGAGGTGAGAAGCAGAATCTACACTGCTAGGCCTGTTCCCGGGGTCACGCACCAAAGGTCACGCGCATGGTGAAGGCTGTTTGGGGAGGTGGCGGTTTTACTGGCATAAGGGGAAGCCTCTCCTGATGCTGCCCGACGTCATGCGTCCTGTCTTCTTTCTCATCTAAGAAAGAAAGACCCAGCTAACTCCCATCTTCCCTCGGGGGAGGGGTGTGTCAGAAGTATGAGGAAATTGTATCTCGGGAACCCCTCCTCTCAGGTTTCGGGGAATTGAGCTGGGAAGGATCTGCCTTCATCTGGCCTCCAGTGGGTTCCTTTTTGGTGGGTGAGACCCATCTTCCCTCCTCACTGGGATTCTGGTTGACCTGCTCTGCCCTCAGACCTACTTTTGCTTTTAATTCTCTTTGCTGCACTTCCACAGATCCACCAGCCCGCTTCAGGTCCAGAGTAGCAAATACTCATCTGGATACAAAGCATTCTTTTTTTAAGACTTTTTATTTATTTATTCGAGAGAGAGAGAGCGCGTGAGAGCAGGGGACAGGGGGGTGCAGAGGGAGAGGGACAAGCAGACTCTGCGCTGAGTGAGGAGCCCGATGCAGGGCTCAATCCCATGACCTGATCATGACCCAAGCTGAAACCAAGAGTCAGACACGCAACCAACTGAGCCACTCAGGTGCCCCAAAGCATTTTTTAATATAAGAAGGTTAATAGTTAAGCCAGAGGCATCCCAAATAAACTATGACTGGTTTCAAAATGGCTCAGGCACTCTGGAAGCCTGTCAGTGTGTATGGGGTCTCCCTGGCCCTAAGACTTCTCCAGTCTATTACACAAGAGACATAGCCTTTTGCTTCAATGTAACTAAAGTCAGGACTTGATTAAAATAAAATAAAATAAAATAAAATAAAAAATAAGGAGCACCTTTGCTATTGCTGCTTAGTGAAAGGTGTGCTATGCAACAAAATCTCACATACCATTTTGTGATGTAGGAGAGGAGAGACTGGTCACCATGCTACAGGGAATTTGCCCTTCCCTCGCAGCCCCCTATCCTGTCTCAGCCAAGATCTGTGGCAGGGTGAATCCATTAATGCAGGCTCCCCCTCTGCTCTGTGGTGCCAGATTGTTACTAGTTCCCAGGCATCGGTGGAGGAGGATTTTGGGCGAGGGCCCTGGCTGGCCATGAAATCTGCTCTGGGCCTGGACGAGAGAGATTCTACCTGCTTTCTCTGTACCTATAGCATCGTCATGGTGCTGCGGAAGGTAAGGATCCTGGGTGCTGAGATGTGCAAGACCATTTTTCTCCTTTTCACCAACCTGCTGCCCTACTCCGCCTTAGGAAAGGGGCTGTCCATTTGCTCCCTCTTACCCCAGGCCTATCTCTGAGCAGCTGCATGGAGCCCCTTTGGTTGTATCTTCCACTCACCCAGCATTTCACTACGACTGGGCACAGGTGGAAGGCGAAAGTGGGGTATGGGTATGTCTCTGCATGTCCAGTCCCTGGATGAGGTGGGGTGAGTACACGGCTACCTTTCAAGCTCCCTAGCGGTCCAGGGTCCCGTGCGGACACATGCCCATGGCCCACGGTGATGCAGCTCTGCATAAATACATATATGCTGGAGAAAGGAAGCAGGGGGGATAGATGAAGGACCTGCCAGCCTCAGATCTGCTGGAGAGAGAGACAGGATGAGTCCTTCAGACTGCCTTTTTGCCCTCCAAAAAAGGCAGATCATCACCACATCTGTACTCTGCCCCCCCTGCCCCTGCCCCAGCTCCCAGGTTGCCCTGGCACACTTGGGAACCTCACAGGTGGGACGTGGCTTGCTCAGCAAATGCCTCTCCTTGTAACCAGGCAGCCCTGAAGCAGCTTCCCAGGAACAAGGTCCCCACCATGGCAGTGATGATCAAGTCCCTGAGTCGGAGCACGATGGATGCCAGCGTGGTTTTCAAGGACCCCACCGGTGAGGAGTCAGGTCCTGGGAGGGTCTGATGAGTGGCCTTCGTTGAGTTCTGGAGATGAGGAGGAATCGTCCTCTCCATTCGCAGATGGGAAAATTGAGGCAGTGAATGGCCCACTTCCCAGCCAGGGCCCAAACCAGTACCTGTGCTGCCCTTGACCCAGACTGATGGGCCATGTGGTATTTGCAGGAGAGATGCAGGGCACGGTGCACAGGTTGCTGCTTGAGACCCGTCAGAGTGAGCTGAAGCCTGGCTCGGTGCTGCTGCTAAAGCAGGTATGGGGAGCTCCGAACGGGGACCTGCTCTCCAACCCTCCCACCCTGGAGAAGGCTCCTGAGTTGTCTGCCTGGCTCCCATTCTTCGGAGGCGGATGGGGATGAGGGGTTGTGCTGTGAGGGCAAGAGGGTGCGGTAAGTGGTTCTGCTCTGGCCCCAGGGCTGGGGCAGAAGCGATTTGTGTGACCCTGGTGCCGAGGCCAGCAAGGGGGAGGTAGGCGGGGACCAGGTGGCATCTGACAGCATCTAGTGCTCCATGAGGGCACTGACCTTCCCCCTTCCTCGGATCCAGGTTGGAGTGTTTTCTCCTTCGCTCCGAAATCACTACCTCAACGTGACGCCCAACAACCTGGTCCATATTTACAGCCCAGATTCCGGGGATGGGAACTTCCTCAAGCCATCTCAGCCCTTCCCCAAGGTAAGAGGAGCAGGATGGAAAGGGGACTGACAGGGCCTCTTTCTGGCTGGATCTTCTGGTATCTTCCCCTCCATCACCCTGAGGAGCAGAGGCATGAAGGGGGCCGTTGCCCTGGGGTGAAGCGATGCCTTCGGGGACGGGGCCATCTCCTCCTGTTCCTGGTGCAGCCGCCTGCCAGCTGGTACAGTAACAGGACCTAGAGTAGCTGGCTTCTTGGGGATCTGATGGCAGACTTGGGCATTGGAGAGGATAGGAGTCACCTGAGAACTAACCAGGTTTCCCAGGGGGTGCAGCCCTCAGTAAGTGACTCAGGGTCAGATCAGCTACAGGTGGTAGTGTGGAGAACAGTGAGACACGTATGGCCCGTCATGTGAGCCAGCCCTTGCCCTGCGTCTGCCCTCCTGGGCTCCACCTGCACTGGGTGAGGGTGCACCCGCACAGAACTCAGGTGGGGACACCCCCTTTTGGGAACTAAGGGAGACTGGAGTTCCAGGCAGCTCCACTCCAGGGTAAGAGTGCAGAGCCAGGCCTTGACTTGGCATACGGTGTCCCCTCTGTGGCCACCTCCCCGCTTCCTGGGATCCTGGGTTGTTGTCATGGCCTGGCCTGGGGGTCAGGAGACCTGGGTCATGTCCCCGCTCTGCTAGTAATTTGTAAGTGACCTTGGGCAAGTCCTGTCCCCTCCCTTGCTGTTGGGCAAGTCCTGTCCCCACCCCTGCTGTTGCTTCTTCTAAAAAGCGAATGGGTAAGACTTGATGACTTCTACTCAAGTTATACCTTTAGCTCTGACAGGCTACTTCCATTGCCCTCATCTTTCCCCTTAACCTTCCACATTTTCTCAAAATCACCCCACTTCCAAAAACTCATCCTTCTTTTTCTTTTAAATTTCAAGGTATCCATACACATTGACAAAAATTGAAATGGTACAGAATAAAGCAAAATGTGAAACTTACTCTTCTCCATTCCCATTCTCTAGGGCTAATGATAGTTAACAGCTTAATTACTAATTTCCATTGCCTGCCTGTATATTAGCTAGTGTGTAGATTGTTGGTTTTTTGTTTTTTAGATTGTATTTATTTATTTGACAGAGAGAGACACAGCGAGAGAGGGAACACAAGCAGGGGGAGTGGGAGTGGGAGAGGGAGAAGCAGGCTTCCCGCTGAGCAGGGAGCCCAATGTGGGGCTCGATCCCAGGACCCTGCGATCGTGACCTGAGCCGAAGGCAGATGCTTAATGACTGAGCCCCCCAGGCGCCCCTAGTGTGCAGATTGTTAAAAGCTTTTCTTCTTTTTATTTTTTTTAGTAGAGAAGGGACAGAGAGAGAGAGAGAGAGAGAGAGAATCTTAAGCAGGCTCCATACCCAGTGCATGAGCCCAACATGGGGCCCAATCTCACAACCCCTGAGATCATGACCTGAGCCAAAATCAAGAGTTGGACGCTTAACCAACGGAGCCACCCAGGCGCCCCTCAAAGCTCATTTTTAATCCCAGGCTAAATCCTCACCATATTTCTGAATGGCCTCTTCACTCTGTTCTAGCTGTATATAGATTTCCTAAAACACCAGATACCAACAGAATTAGGAAAGAAAATCACCCAAAAAAGTTTTTTGTGTTTTTAATTATCTGCTGTTTGGGTGTTTGGTATTTCAGCTCCCTCCCCTGGGTTACTGGCCTCTGCCACACTCCTCTGTTGTATCTTTCCTGAACCCCTACCTATTCCTTTGAGGTTGTCTGGGTGGACACGGAACTGTCCAGAGGGATGTCAGAGGCAAGGGCATTAGTAACCAGGCTCTCTGTCCCCAGAACCCAGGAAGCTTCCCTGGCAGCCTCCATCATGAGATTGCAAAGTTTGGAAAAGGCTTCAGAACAGCAGAGAATGCAGAGGCAGTGGCATCCCCTGAGGAAGAACTCCCAGAAGCAGGTAAGGCAGTCAGCTCACCCAGGAGCAAAAACAGTTCTCCTTCTATTCCCTCTTGGATAGCACAGCCAGGAGAATCTGGCTGCATCTTTTCCCTCCTTCTGTGAATCTTTGGGTCTTACAGAATCTTACAGAAATCAGATGTGGTATCTTTTCTGGCAAGGCTGTAGGCCACAGACTAATTAGCAGTGTGACAGGGGCCACGTAAAGCAAATACAGTGGGAGCCACAGGTCTCCCCCATTTCCAGACCATGTGGTTAGCCACAAGGAGGAGATGGACTGGCACCATCCTTGTGCCTCACCTTGGGTCTTCTGGGGGCTGATTTCCCCATCCTGACTAAGCTCGGATACCCTTCAGGCAGTGCTGAGGAGTCAAACCTCCATGTGGTTAGGGTGGGACCAAGATACAGACCCGAGAAGCCCAAAAACGTACCTGTCCGGTTGTTCCTCAGGAGACAGCATCACCCAAGTGAAGCTAGCACAGTCCCAGTCTGATCCTTAGCTTTTTGATTCCATAAATTCAACCCTGTCTGGCCCCCAAGTTCATGGGATTCTGGGTAAGTGTCTCACATTAACCAAATTAACATTAGACCAATGGATAAACCACAAAGCCCATTTACTTACAGCCTATGAAAAAGTACCCCTTATGCTGGAATCTCCTCTGGAATGTTGCACTCGTTCCTTATAAGTAAGCTGGCGGACAAGCCAAACCATCATCAGAAGGTTGCTGGTGGTCATGAAATAAGTGAGGAGAGTTGCCTGTAGAATATTGTGGCTGGTGTCACATCTCCGTTGTAGGGACAGACTTGCCAAGCAGGTAACCACTAGTGGTGGTTGGACAGGGCTGGGAAACACCAATACTTGCTCTTACTTTGATTCCCAGTTTCTTAGGCCCACACTGTCTGCTCATTCCCCTTCATTTAACATCGAGTTTCCCCAGTCATAGTGTAGCTAGTGAGAGGCACTTTTTTTTTTAAGATTTATTTATTTATTTGAGGTGGGGGAGGGGCAGAGGGAATGGAAGAGAGAGAATCTCAAGCAGACTCCCCGCTGAGCGCGGAGCTGAATGTGTGGCTTGATCTCAGGACCCCAAGATCATGACCTGAGCCAAAATCAAGAGTCGGATGCCCAACCGACTGAGCCACCCAGGCGCCCCATCACCTTTTGTTGTTACAATCAAATTCCAGTCTTACTTCCCCAAGTACAGTGCTGGGCACCTTAATTAAATTTTGAATGCCAGCAAATGGACTTCCAGCAGCGTGTTTGTCAGGTGCTCTGTGCCAGACTGGAAGCTGGCTTCTGCAGGGGTGGTGCCTAGTTCTTCTGACTCCATGGGCTGCCTGAGCCCATCCCTCACGCGGGACTTCTCTTGGGAGCTGTGACTCTGGCATCAGATGGAGCTTGAGTATGCTCCCCACGGGCAGGCCGTCTGACCTCTTTAAACTCGTTCTCTCAGATAAAGTGGGGATGGTAACAGGAAGAACCATGCCCTGCGAAGGATACTGTGAGGACTGAAAGGGACAAGTATGGCAGGTGTGGCCCTGAGCATGCGCTCAGCGAGTGGTAGCTGCTATTGTTAACAGTAATAGTACCAGCAGGGATTGCTGAGGTCAGCTCTATTTCCAAGTTCTCAGACATAAGCACCCAGCTGAGAACTGCAGTCAGGGACAGTTATTTTCATTCCACACGCCCAGGAAGGCCCACTGGGGAAGGGGCTGATGTCTCGCCCTCTTCGAGTGAGAAACCAGATTAATGGATGCCATGATTCTGAATGTGTCTCATGGCTTTTCCCGGCCTTTTGTCTTCCTCTGTCCAATGAGCACATTGCACTAGTGGACCTCTGAAGCCTATCTACTCAAGCGCTATGCCTCTGGATGGAAAGAGGGGTATATCACCAAGGCCAAGGGGAGTGTCCTTCTTGACAGAAAGGCCCAGGCATTTTTGTCCCTGTCTCTTGTAGCATGTGCGTGTGGGGGAAGCAGAGGGAAGATGGGAGTCAGGCCAGTGTCGGGCCTGTTAGCCCAGTCACCACTGCCCAGGGGGAGCTACCTCCCCAACTGTGCAGCCAGGTCCAGGCCCCCCTGAAAGGCAGGAGCTCTGGATCTGAGTCCTGTGGAACCCTAACTTTGTCACTAGTTCTGTCTACCCTCTCCACGTCCCCCTGCAGATGACCTGGATGGACTCCTGAGTGAGCTCCCTGAGGACTTCTTCTGTGGGACCGGCAGCTGGGACTGCCCCACGACAAGGCCCCCACCGTGAGCAGCCAGCCTCTTGGCACCCAGGCAAGGCTCTGGTTGTGTCTGATTGAGTCCCAAGGAGAGAGGAAGCCCAGCATGATGGGAGAATAAACAAAGCTCAGGACTATGGCTGCCCCTACCCTGGATGCCTACCCTAGGAACGCCCTCGACCCTCCAATTCTACACTGCTCTCACCTTGGGTCTTCTTTTGGCATTCCAGAACTCAGCCCAAGGATGGCCCTTCTGCTCTACTGTCCTCCAAGCCCTTGGATGCAGCTGCTGTTCCTTTTCCTCCTGCCAACAGGGAAGGTGTGGCCCCCTCCGGCCTCCCCTTGACTTTAGAGGACCCCGATCCCTTTACTCCCTATTCCTTGGACAGCTGAGGAGTCACACCACAGCCGTGGCGACCTGTCCCTCTGGTCAGGGGAGGAACACTCTCAGACTTCCCTCTGCTTTGTCTCGAGAGGCCTGCAGCTGCCCAGCTCACCTGTGCTCAGGTTCCCAGGTGCGGGGGCGGGGCTGGGGCTGCGGCACCTTGTTCGGAAATAAAGCAGCTGCCTACTTCACTCACCTCCTGCTCTCCTTTCCACCCACCCCTGCTCCTTGTCCATCTGTCTTGCCGGTGGTGCTTTGGCTGGGGCAGAGCCAAGCTGCTCGTTTTCCTTCTCTCTCTCTCTCTTCATAAACTTTCCTTTTAGACAGTTTTAGATTTACAGAATTATTGCAATATAATCCAAGGAGTTCCTATATACCCCACACCCAGTTTCCTCTGTCATTAGCCTCTTATACTAGGATGCACACTGCTTGCAACTAACCAGCCAGTGTTGGCACATTCCTATGAACCGAACTTCATGCTTTATTCAGATGTATACAGTTTCCCTGTCGTCCTTTTTCTGTTCCAGGACCCCACATTCTATTTAGTTGCCCTGCCTTCTTAGGCTCCTCTTGGCTCTGGCATTTCCTCAGGCTTTCCTCGTTTTTCACGACTCTGATAGCTGCAAAGAGTACGGGTCAGGCATGTTCCAGAATGCCCTCTATTGGAATCTGTCTCCTTAAAGAAAGATGAGACCGGGGTTATGTGTTTTGCCGAGGAAGGCCACCAAGGAAGGTATATTCTCGTCACACACCAAGGGTTGATGTTGACCTTGATGACCTAGGCTGAAGTAGCATCTGTCAGGTTTCTCCACGGTAAATGTGCTTTTTCTCCCTCTTCATGCTGTCCTCTTTGGAAGGAAGTCACTAGGTGCAGCCCACACTTAACAAACAAGGAGTTATGTTCCACCCTCTCTAAGGACAGAATATCTGTATAGAGTATTTGGAATTCTTCCTCATTTTTTAGTCCTACATTTATATCCGTCCAGACTCATGGGTACTGTCCTATGCGTTGGGTGGTAACCCAGTGCCACTTTGCCGTGTGGCCAAGCAGCTGCTCGTCAGTGTAGCTTTGCTGTGCCACCTTTCAGACCAGAGTTGGACAAGGGGCATGTGCGGGGTGTAAAAGGCGTAATTATACCGAGTCGCCAACCCTGTTTTCCTTTCTGGGATGAAAGGAGGAAAGGAATTATCCCCCAACTCGTGGTTGAGGGGGTGTGGGTTAAAGACCCTAGTTTGACCAGCAGCCTCCCTTGCCTCAGCCCCAGCCTTCCCTAAGGGGCTGTGAGTCCGAGGCCTCCAATGGGCTTGGGTACTGCTCTGGGGAAGGATGCTCATCTCTTTCTTCCCAAAGAAAGCCTGACGCCCTGGATCACCGTCTCAAAGCTGAAGTGAGTGAGTGCTGGAAGAATTCCATGTTCAGCAGGCTATTCGTTAGTGGGGCCCTGTTTGAGAAGGCTTTTGTGTTCCAAACCCAGGAGCAAGAAGGGGCTAATTCACTAGCAACCCTCTTACCTGAACAGATAGAGCACTTCTATCTCTTCTACCCACTGCTAGTTCCCCAGCTCTGCCGATGCAGCTCAGATCTGGGCCACAGCCCATCTACACCATACGGTCTTCCTGCCCCTAAACCACCCCATGCCCCTGGCCCGCACTACCACTCCCCACTCAACGCCCTTGAGCCCTGATCTCTGCTTCTCACAGTCCTGACCAGGGTCCTGGCGTCTTGTGTGCTTCATCACCCTACAGGCTCAGCTCCCAGAAGGCAGGGTGGGGAATCCAATCACCTAGCATTGTTCTATCACTAGACCTGGGTTCCCTGTGGGTTCGTGTGTGGGTTGGAGTAAAAGCCTCCTTTTTCTGCCCTCAGGAAGCTAAGGAGAGGAGACAGAACACAGGCTATCTCTGGGGACTGGGTTGTAGTCAGGGTACCTTCAGGCGCATATGACAGACAAGAAGGCTGCAGAGAGGCTGGGGAGGTCAACACAGCCGTGCACCCCACACGTCATGGCTGCTGTGTGCCTTGGAAGGGGACGCCCACCCCACCTTGGCCCCTCTTTGCCCCACCCAGCCTTGTCAGCTCCCAACCCTGGGAACTCAGCTGTGGGTGCTCAGTCAGGCCGTTGGCGGGGCAATTAAAACACCAAATGGGTTCCAACAGGGTTAATCACAGCTGCATTTATAGAGGCGCCTTTCTCTGAGGATCTCGAAGACCTTGCTGTGCATGACCTCATCCCTCCCTCTGGGATCCCCCACCCTGGAATACCACCAAGAAGCTGGGGCCAGAGTGGGTGAACAGCAGGGTAGGGGCAGTGCCGGAAGCAGCCCAGGCTGCTGCCACCCACTTGGGCAGGCAGATGAGTGTTTGCTCTGGCAGAGAACAAGGGCCCTCACTCAATGCCCTACACACAAGGGGCCCGCCTGCGACGAGCCAAGCGCTCCTAAACACCACATCAAGACCTACAGTGTGCCAGGCCCTGCTGGGTTGCAGAGACCCAGCTGACTAAATTCAGGTCCTGCTCTGGAGCCCACATCCAGCAGGGCGGACTTCTGTCCACAGCACATTGGGATAGGCCCTTCACAAAGTACATGTGCAGTCCTCCTGGAGCACCGATCGGGCATGGCTGGGAAGGCTGAGGAGCCGCCAGGAGAATGCCACGTGACATGAAGCCCTGAGCTGAGGCATCGGGCTTACCCGGAGAGGGGTGATGTTGGAAGTCAGCAGAAGTTTTCAAGCTAGGAAATGAACCGTTTTAGACAGATCCTTCCACCTGGGTGGCAGAGCCGAGAGGCTGTGGCCAGAGAAAGGAACAGCAGGAGGCTGGGCTGGTCCCAGTGAGGGGCACTGAGAGGGTGACTGATAATGTGACAATGGGAGCTGGAGCTTGTTTGCGTGAGGGGACCAGGGAGAGGAAGAAGTCCGAGGTCACTGCGCAGGGGTGGCTGCAGAGCCAGGGAGGGGAGGAAGTGGGGCGGGCAGAGGGGCCGGGAGAGCCCGCCGCGCTGGTGGACACAGACCAGGCCGACCCTGAGGGGATGAGGGGCTGCCCGCCCGCACACTGGGTGAGGTGGGGGGGGTAGGAGAGCTTCCGAGGCCCCCGGGGGCTAGCATCCCCCCTCCGCCCACCCCTTCCCTTCCCTTCCCTTCCCGGGCTCCGCAGAGCATCAGCCAGGGCTATTTCATGGCCTCATTCCTCCCCCTAGAGGCTCCTGGAAGCAGAGCTGCTTTCTCCTGAGCCTGAATGGGTTTGTGGCTTGAAGGTTTCTTCGGTCAGAGTCCCCAGAGTTGCCAGGTCAACCCCTCGGCCTTCCTAAGTTAGGCAGGTGAGCCGTTTTAGGAGCTCGGGGGGTGGAGGGACACGAGAGACATGAGATTCGTGGCGGGCAGTTTCTAGAGGCCGCGCTGTCCTGCTAGGAGGGCGCGGAGAGGCTCTCACCACTGGCCACCCTCAGGTGGCCACAGCAGCATGAGCCAAAGTGCCCCATCTATGCCGTCTGGCCAGCTGGGGTACTAGTCCTGGCTCCGCCGCTCACAAGCTGTGACCTTGTTAAGCCTAAGTTCCTCATGCTTAAGACGGACACAAAAGCACCCATTTCAGAGGTGCTCCACTGTGATCATTAGCCTGATTGTGTGCTTTATGGTCAAAACCAAGCTTTCTACCCTCAGGGAGCCAGGAAGTATGGCTCTTGGAGTGAGGACGGATATGAAGGTGATGTCCTTGGCGAAGAGCCCCGTGCACACATGCGCAGTTACCCGGACTACTGCAGACACCGGAAGAGCTGTTTGGACCCGTCTCTGCCTGCCCTTATTTCCTGGGCTGGGGTCCGCCTTCCAGCCAACAGCTGAGAGGCTGGGGGACTCTGGCTCTTCCTGCCCTGCCCATCTCCCAGATCGACTGTTTCACTCCCCTTGGACCTTGCCAACCCAAGATGCTCCCTCCAGGCAAGTGGGAGGATGCCGACCCTGGGGTTCCTGCTGCTGCCCCCTTGGGAGGGCATCAGCAGGGGCAGGGGTTGGCCTTGGCCCTGGGCTGGGGGGGGGCGGGGGTTGGCCCAATACCTTCTCTGCACCAGGATCATGACTCTGGGCAAACGGCGTTTACCAGGCCGGCCAAGGACCTATTTATAGCCTCAGCTGCTCCTCTGGCCGGGTTACGAGGGAGGGGCAGGACGGCTGCTCAGAACACGGGGGGTAGTCGGGCTGGGGGAACCCGGCTCTGCCCAGCTGCCGCCGCCCAGCCCCCCGGCGCCCCTCCCCATGGCAGAGGAGACCTTCCCGTTCACCTCCTCCACGCGGCGGGCTCTCCGGCTCCAGCGGGAGTGGCTGGAGTGGGAGGACCGGCGGCGGGCCGCGGCCCAGCAGTGCCGCAGCCAAAGGTGCCCCCCCAGTGCCCGGGCCCGCCTCACCAGGCCGCGCCGCTGCTGCCGAGACCCAGCCGTGCACAACGCTCTGTTCTCCGGTGACCTGCGCCAGGTCCAAGCCCTGTTCCAAGAGGAAGACGCTGCCAACATGATTGTGGAGACTGTGAGCAACCAGCTGGCCTGGTCAGCTGAACAGGGTAGGGAGCACCCGGGGGGGGGCGGGGGGGCAGAAGGGGGCGGAGGGAGGAGAGGGTGGGGATGGGGGAGAGACTTGGCCCCATCCCCTCCCTCGAGAACCCAGACTAGACCACTGCTTTCCACACCCATTCTAGTTCCCTCCTCCGCAGAGAGGAGGCGTAGTGGTTTGTATGTCTTTTCAGAATTAAAATTATATTAACATATCAATTACACAGCAATACAGTTATATTCTAATGCAATATTCTCTCTGAATACATCTATGTAAATAAATATATATACATATATATATATATATATTTTTTTTTTTTTTTTTAAGGGGCACCTGGCTGGCTCACTCGGTAGAGCATGTGATTCTTCATCTCAGGGTCGTGAGTTCAAGCCCCACACTGGGTGTGGAGCCTACTTGAAATAAAATAAATTAAAAATTAAAAATAAGTAAGATTTTATTTTCAGGTAATCTCTACACCCAACGTGGGACTTGAACTCACAAACCTGAGATCAAGGGTCGCGTGCTCCACCAATGGAGCCAGCCAGGCATCCCCACATAATAAATATTTTTTTAATTTGAGAGAGAGAGAGTGTGTGTGTGCAGTGGGGAGGGGCAGAGGGGGAAGGAGAGAGAGAATCTCTAGAAGACTCCCCACTGAGCATGGAGTCCAATGTGGGACTCAGGACCCCAAGATCATGACCTGAGCCAAAATCAAGAGTGGGACACCTAACCGACTGAGCCACCCAGGCACCCTGTCCCCACAGTGCATAAATTATATGGTATGTGGGTGCCATGATTTATATAACTAGGCCCCAAATAGACTGGGTAGATTGGGTTCCTTTTTTGTAAAATTAGTTGTAATAGCATTATGATGAACATCTTTGTGTACTTAGCAGATAATTTCCTTAGGCTCTATTCTGACCAGTAGGTTTGTCCACGTAAACCAAATACCTCAACTGAGATCACCCTGCTCTTAAGACTGGCAGAGATTGCCCCAAGCCCCACTCATGGATCTGGGGGCTCCAAATCCTTGGAGAGTTACGTTCTCACAGTCACTGCAAGGTCCAGATTCCTGCTGGGCTTTAACTGTTAGAGATGTAACCCTACCCAAGGTATTTTGGTCTTGTCCTGCAGCATGTCTGTCATCCCCCAAATGGAACTTGGCCTTAATTTCAATCCTAATACAAAACAAAACATGCTTTACCCGAAATTTGACAAACCCAGGAATTTACTTCACCATAATGCAAACAACTTAAACAGTTGGATATTAGGCATCTATATTCTTTAAACAAGTCCTTGGCCACTTCTACAATTTAGATCCAACACTAGTCCCAAGATCAGCCGCTCACCCAACTCTTCCTTTCCCCACCCCCACCTCTTATTCTCCCTTCCACCTTTCCCCCACTTCCACCCTCCTCTCCGCCATCTGCCCCAGGAATATCCTAGAACTCCAAACTAGGCTACTTGGTCATTCCCAAGCTCAGCCCCAGGCCCTCCTATGCATAACTCAAACCCACCCCCAACGCCAGAACACCCTAGTGAACAAGAACCAAGGAATCCATCAGGAGCTCAAAGACCCAGAGGTTTCCTTAACAGGATTAACTCTCTTCAATTGCCCCTGTGATTTGAAAGAGCAATTACCTTTTTTTTTTCTTCTATGACACACATACTGTTTTGTTACAGATTGACAAACCGTTCTAAAAGGCTATTCCAGGGACGCCTGGATGGCTCAGTCAGTTAAGCGTCTGCCTTTGGCTCAGGTCATGATCCCAGGGTCCTGGGATTGAGCGCCGCATTGGGCTCCTTGCTCAGCAGGGAGCCTGTTTCTCCCTCTCCGTCTGCCTGCTGCTCACCCTGCTTGTGCTCTCTCTCAAATAAATAAAATCTTTAAATAAATAAATAAATAAATAAATAAATAAAAGGCTGTTCCAATATACACTCCAAGTTCAGGGCTTGATTGCTTAGCCCCTCCCCATAGCTACAGCCTGGCACGATTCGTGCTCAGGCCAAGGGTGCAAAGGGACGGCCACGGTCAGGGCCTGCCCTGGGAGTCTCACACACCATTCCCCGACCCTACCTGCTCTTCCCAGGGTTCTGGGTGCTGACCCCCAAGACGAAGCAAACGGCGCCCCTCACCATCGCTGCTGCCCGAGGCTACATTGACTGTGCCCGCCACCTGATCCGGCAGGGAGCTGAGCTGGATGCCCGGGTTGGGGGCCGGGCAGCCTTGCATGAGGCCTGTGCCCGGGCCCAGTCTGACTGTGTGCAGCTGCTGCTGACCTTCGGTGCCAAGGCCAACGTGTTGTCCGAGGAGGGTACAACCCCCTTGCACCTCTGCACAGCCCCCGAGTCCTTGCAGTAGGTACCCAGGGGAGGGGTGTGTGTGTATGTGTGTGTCTCTCTCTCCAGCTGACACAGCCAGGAGAAGGGGAGAAGCACCTCACATACACACATCCTCATGACAATCTAGGAGACAGGTCTCATTCCACTGGTGAGAAAACTGAAGCTCAGAAAGGTTTTAGGGACTTGTCCAAGGTCACATAAGCTAAGCCCAGGAGGCAGAAGCCCTGTTGCCTTTTTGGAAAACCCTGTTCCAACTGCAGTCCCCTAGCCCCTGTGAATCCTCTGTAGCCAAATTCCTACCTGTTTCAAGGTGGGCATCAAGAAAGATGTAGCCGAGTGTTTCCCAGCTTTAGTACAAGGTCTCCTCCCACATTTTTAAGATCAACAGGTTCTTTTTGGGGGGGGGGGTGGAAGGTTGGGCAAAATGGGTGAAGGGAAGTGGGAGATACAGGTTTCCAATCATGGAATGGGTAAGGCTCAGGAATAAAAGGCTCAGCATAAGGAATAGACTTAGTCAATGATCTTGTGATAGTGATGTAACAGGACAGATGGTAGTTACACTTGCGAACATAGCATAATGTATAAACTTGTCAAGTCACTAGGTCGTGCACTTGATACTAATGTAACATTGTGTGTCAACTATACTTAAAAAAACAACAACAACAACAGGTTTCTGGCGGTGAGGACACTCCACAGCCCACATGCTGGGGACTTCTCCCTAGCCGGATCTAGAGCAGTGATGGACCCAGAAGTGATTTTGATTTTCCAGCCCTTTCTTGAATTCTTACGAGCACACAGTGTGCTTTCCAAGAGACTATCCTTTTAAGTGAAACTTACTGAAACCCTACTGAATGAGCTTTTCAGGGTTATTTAAATGTAGTATTTAGAAAAAAAACTTAGGGGCACCTGGGTGGCTCAGTCACTGAGCGTCTACTTTCGGCTCAGGTCATGATCCCAGGGTCCTGGGATCGAGCCCCACATCGGGCTCCCTGCTCAGCGGGAAGCCTGCTTCTCCCTCTCCCACTCCCCCTGCTTGTGTTCCCTCTCTCACTGTGTCTCTGTCAAATAAATATAATATTAAAAAAAAGAAAGAAAAAGAAACAAAACTTAGCCCATGATTAGAATTGGCTGAGGAAAGGGCGCCTGCCTGGCTCAGTCGTTGAGCCTCTGCCTTCGGCTCGGGTTGTGATCCCGGGGTCCTGGAATCGAGTCCCGCATCGGGCTCCTTGCTCGGTGGGGAGTCTGCTTCTTCCTCTCCCTCTGCCTCTCCCCCTGCTTGCTCTCTCTCTGTCTCTCTCGCAAATGAATAAATAAAAAAATCTCTAACATGCTTTAAGAAAAAAAAAAAGGAATTGGCTGAGGAAATAAATTCAGCCGTTTATAGATGGCTGGCTGTTACTGCATTTTTGGCCACTGAGCCAAGCACCTACTGGACCTATACACTGAAAGGAACAGGAATTCTGGCCATTTTTGGGGAGAGACACTGGGTCATCAGGGTTTCGTGAGGGTTGCTGCATCTACTCCCGAGCTTCCAGTGGCTACCGTTCTGGCTTTTTAATTATAAATTACTGTTAGTTTAATTACATCATTAATTGAGTTTGTTTCGTATTTGGTTTACCCCCTGGTGGTTAATGATGCATATTTGCCTCAACAGTGTTCTGGCCTATAGTTTTTTGTTTGTTTGTTTTTTAGAGAGAGAGCATGCATGCCCGTGAGATTGGGTGGGGGGAGGACGGGGAGGGGGAGAGGGGCAGGGGGAGAGAGAGAATCTTAAGCAGGCTCCACACCCAGCACGGAGCCCCAAGTGGGGCTCAGTTAAGCCAGACGCTTAACCCACTGAGCCACCCAGGTGCCCCATGCTCTGGCCTATAGGTTTTCCAGGAACTGGGAGACCATGAAACAGGTGCTCCCTAAAATCTAGTTTTTGTTGTTTGGTTCCATTTGTTTTCTCTAGGGGAAACGAGCAGGCTGATTCCCAAATGCCTTCCTTTGTTTGAATGGGTATCACTGGTCTGGAAGAGTGGTCTTCAAGTTTGGCAGCATGAAGAAAATATTAGGACTTCTATGACTTTTTCTTTCCAGCTCATATTCTAATTTTCTATGTGTAATGTTCATAGTGGACACAGTAGTGGATTTTCAAATTTTTTGCATTATCAAAATGTTAAGAGACCACTGGCAAGTGATTCAGAACTAGGCCTTGGAGTCCCAATCCACTCTGGGAGTCAGGTTTTGGAAACAAAAAATTAGCCCATGACTGGAACTTACCGAGGAAATAAACAGATTCTGGGAGGGACCGTCTGAGGCAGTGAGTACTCATTCTGACGCAGCCTCTAACTTGCTGTGTGTCCTTGGCTGTATGGCGGCCCTCCTCGGCCGAGTTTTCCATCTGAAGACTGAAGATGCTCCTGGGGACATCATGGGCCTCGCAACTCTGCTGTCGGTCATGGGGCTTCTGTGAGTCTGATGGTGGACACCAGGCTCGCCTCGATGGCGTGCAGGGTGGGAAGAAACGGGGAAGGGGATGACAGCAGGCCAGGCCGTGGTCCCTTAGGATCTGTCTCTGGGCCATGCGCCTTGCCCTCCAGGTGCGCCAAGCTGCTGCTGGAGTCGGGAGCGACCGTGAACGTGGCGGCGCAGGATAGCGAGGTGACACCCCTGCATGTGGCGGCGGCTCGCGGCCTGGAGGAGCACGTGGCTCTCTACCTGGAGCACGGCGCCAACGTGCACCTGCGCACCAGCCAGGGCGAGACGGCCCTGAACGCGGCGTGCGCGGGGGCCGAGGGCCCGGGCAGTGGCCGGCGGCACCAGGAGGCAGCGCGCCGGCTCCTAGCGGCCGGGGCTGATGCCCGCGCTGCCGGCCGCAAGCGCCACACGCCGCTGCACAACGCCTGTGCCAACGGCTGCGGGGCCCTGGCCGAGCTGCTGCTGCGCCACGGCGCCTGCGCTGGAGTGCCCAACGCGGCGGGCCACACCCCCATGGACTGCGCGCTGCAGGCGGTCCAGGACGCCCCCGGCGGGGAGCCCGAGGGCCTCTTGGCAGCGCTGCTGGACTACGGGGCCCAGCCTGTGCGCCCTGAGGTGCGCGGGGAGGGCCTGCGAAAGGAGGCCCCAGTTGAGCGGGGGAGCCTGAGGCTGGAATTGCCCTGCCGCCGGGGAAGGTGGGGGTAGGGGGTGGGGGGCAAGAGACTAAAAGCCCGGTCCTGTAGCCAAAGGTCTGTCCTCACCTTGGGAAGGACCACTGAAGGCTATAGGGAAGCGTGTGGAAGGACAAAAGAGCTCCCAAGGAAATTGGCCAGGGCCAAGAGGTTGCAGCCCACAGAAGTTGGGGTAAACTGAGGCATAGGAAAGAGGAGACTCAGACCTTAGCCTCCCAACTTTGGGTGTGAGTGGGGCTTTGGCTTAGGCTGGACTTGGTTCTGCCCTTGGTTGGGAGAGCCGTGGTGACCCTAACACCCTCTTTTGATTCCTAGATGCTGAAACACTGTGCCAATTTCCCTCGGGCCCTGGAAGTCCTGCTTAATGCCTACCCTTGTGTCCCCTTGTGTGATACCTGGGTGGAGGCAGTACTCCCAGAGCTGTGGCAGGTATGTCCACCACAGGGGCACAGCTCCTTCCTGGGCTCTGGGGGACATGGAGAGAAAGGATGACCCCCAGGCCTTATCCCTCCAGGATGGGCTCCCCTCCCTCCCCTGGGGTCTCCTGCCGCCTAGCAGCTCAGAACACCCTCTAATCCCACACACCCCTCCAGCCTCTCTCACTGGTACCAGCGTGGACGTTAAATAGGTATCTCGGACTCAGCGGGCACTGTGCCAGCATCTTTAGAGTGGTGGGTGCAGACATGGCCGAGACCCTGCCCTACACTGTGGTCCCATCTCCCATGACCCCTGCAGGGCCTCTGGGTTCTGAATCGGAGTCTTTCAAGCTGCACCAGACACCCCGGTGGGTGCATATTGCAAATTCCCTGGGGCCCCCAGTGCTAGGTCATCGCCAGATGGAAGGGCAGGATCAAGGGTGCTGGGCCATCTGATCCTGTTCCACTCCTGGCTTAGGAGCACGAAGCCTTCTACATCTCGGCCCTGAGCATGGTGAACCAGCCGAGGCGGCTGCAGCACCTGGCTCGGCTGGCTGTGCGTGATCAGCTGGGTAGCCGCTGCCGACAGGCCGCCGCTCACCTCCCGCTGCCCCCGGTCCTCAGGGACTACCTACTGCTGCGTGTGGAGGGGCGGATCCAGTGAGCCCCATGCCAGGGTGCTCCCAGCGCTGTTTCTGTCCCCTCCATCAGTCGTCTCCCTACAACCCTGGAGGACCAATCCCTGGCTCTCTTGTCCACACTCCGCGTGCCCTCCCCAGCCTGCTCCCCTCTTCACTGGCTTCTTGAGCTACTCGCTGACCTCCTGCCCAACCCAAGCTTCAGCTTCCAATGGGAAGGTCTGCAGACTCAGCCTTCACCCACCTCCGTCTCCTTTGCTTAAGTGGATGGCCCCTCCAGCCCAAGCCACGTGGGGGTGATCCTTGTTGCTCCTCCGTCCCCTGCCACCTATGTACCTGTTTGGCCTCCTAAAGAGTGACCGACTCCGTCTATACCTGCACTGCCTCTGCCCAAACTGCCTTTGTTGCTTGAAGGGAGGACTTCCCTGCTTGGTCTTGAAACACACGCCCCACAAGGATGCCAGAGCCCCTTCGAGAATCACAACTCTGATCATGCCCTTCGGGGGCTCCTTACCACCTTCAGGCTAAAATCTGAATTCAGTAAGTAGACAGATCTTCTACCCCTGCCTCCGCCAAGCTCTCTGGTCTTCTGATTCCCCCTTCCCCCTCTGAGGTTCCTGTAATCCAGCCTCATCAAACTGGGCAGACTTGCGGCTTGCTGGATATGACCTGCTCCACTTTGCTTCTAGGTGTTCTGCATGTGCTGTTCCCTCTGCCTGGTCCACCCACCAGTGATGCATGATGTCTTAAACAATGGGTCACTACACTTGTGGTCTCTAAGGGTCTGTGACAGGAGGACAAGCCACTAGCTGTCCCCCTTCTCTCTCACTTCCTCCTCTGGTCCCAGAGTCAAACGTACCATCCTTCATCTTTAAGAACCTTTTACGCCAAGCCAGTTTTTGTGAATGCAAATAAATGATGTGTGCCCAGAACCCAAGCGTGTATGTGTCAGGTTGGCATGTGGCTGAGATACCCCTCACTCCATGTTTATCGCCCCTCCACAGAGCAACTGTTAACTCTTGTGATAGGAAAAAGGGTATAAGAACAACAGAAGGCCCTTGCCAGGCCCCAAGCTTGTAGTACCCACTGCAGGAGGGTCCTTTTGCTGAGGGACCCTGGGCTGTCGACTGCCATTACCATTTGGAGTCACACAGTAGTGACGGGTCAGAAGTCCCGGGGTCGGCCTCCTGCAGCTGTTGCCAGCCTCCTCGCCGCTGTGGAGAGTTGTATCTGCGGAGATTCCCTTTGACCAACACGAAGACAATTTTGTACCTTGTTATGCAGAGCAGCAACCTCTCCTTTCTGGAAGACATGTTGGCTTTCATTTCATAAAGCCAAAAGGCGGGAGGGAAGAGAAGGAGATCCTCTGTACTCCTGGGCCCAAGCTGAGAGCCTCACTCTCAGGGGAGGATGCTGAGCTGTCCACCCCCTTACAGGAGGCAAACCCCAGCGAGCTCAGCTTTTTCTGTTGCATTTACACCTATGACAAAAAAACCCACTTAGGAAAAAAAACCCCAAAGATACATGAGATTATGTGTATTATTTTGGGGTAGGAGATTTTCCAGGGTGAAAGCATAAAAGAAAAAATGAATAGATCTGGATACAGAAACAATTTAAATTTGGTTATAAAAGCACCAAATCATAAACACAAGTGACAGACAAAGTATTGGGGAATTTCATTTCCGGACACCTGGGTGGCTCATTGGTTAAGCGACTGCCTTCGGCTCGGGTTGTGATCCAGGAGTCCCGGGATCAAGCCCTGCATCGGGCTCCCTGTGCTCAGCGGGGAGTCTGATTCTCCCTCTGACCCTCTCCCCTCTCATGCTTTCTCTCTCACTCTCTCAAATAAAGAAATAAAATCTTTAAAAAAAATAAAATTTCATTTCCTTCATCTGTTTTATTCGCCACTGGTGACTTGGTGCTTTGCAGAGAGTGGACACTCAAATATCTGCGGAATCAACGAATCAACCTCACCAGCCATCAGGGAAATGCAAATCAAAGCAATCATCAGGTACTGTTCCCCCACCGGATACAGGGAAATTGTAAAGATCAATAATAGGCATTACCCATGAAGATCTGAAGATGTAAATAAATTCTTGCTCATCCTATTGATGGGAAAGGAAATTGCTTTTTTGGTAGGCAATTTGGCAGCACCCTTAAACACTGCTCCCCCGTTACATAAAATGCTGGTACACATGGAACATTCACCCCAGCACTGCGTGCAACGATGCAACATGTGGGAGGTGGTGGACAAATCCTTACTCTGGAATACAATGCAGCCCTTACAAAGGGTAGTCCCTGCAACGGGAAGGAACTGGGGAGGCATGCCAAGTGACCGTTGTAGGCATGGCCTTGGAAAGATTGCCAAGACTGTTGTTGAAGAGAAGAAACAGGTTGGAATACAGTATGTACAGCCAATAAGGCCAAATCCGATGATTGTAGATGAAGAGAAAAAGGCCCAGAGGCAGGTGCCCAAGAATTGTCCTCCGGGGAGGGGAGAACGACTGTGTCAGGGGGGCGTTTTGTGGTCTGTATTTGAAATTTTAAAAAAATTTCAACCCTGGGCGCCTGGGTGGCTCAGTTGGTTGAGCGACTGCCTTCGGCTCAGGTCATGATCCTGGAGTCCCGGGATCGAGTCCCGCATCGGGCTCCCTGCTCAGCGGGGAGTCTGCTTCTCCCTCTGATCCTCCCCCCTCTCATGTGCTCTCTCTATCTCATTCTCCCTCTCTCAAATAAATAAATAAATAAAATATTTAAAAAAAAAATTTCAACCCTACTGTGTTGGGTTGTTTTAAGTTTTTATTTCTCCATATTTAAATTTTTTTACAAAGAGATACCCATGGATTCTTGTGAAATTATTTTTTTTTTTTGAAGATGTGAAGTAAATTTAATCACCACCCTCAGACAGCAGGAGTTTCTAGGTGGCGGCCCTCCCCCGCCCTGGGAGTGGACGGGGTAAGCATTTTTCTTTTAAAGATTTTATTTATTTATTCATGAGAGAGAGGGAGAAGCAGGCTCCCAAGGAGCAGGGAGCTCAATGTGGGACTCGATCCCAGGACCCCGGGATCATGACCTGAGCCGAAGGCAGACGCTCAACCATCTGAGCCACCCAGGTGCCCTGGGTAAGCATTTTTTTAAGGGAAGAAAACACAAAAGGCCCAACAATTTAATTTACAAAGTGGTGGATGAAACAAGAAAAACTGAAAACCTCACTAGTGATCCAGTGAATGAAATCAAAGGAACTGACACGCTTTTGTCTATTAGATTGGCAAACATGGCATGAATGACAGAGAGTGGTTAGGGAAGGAGCAGTTTTAGTACAACAGATTTACTATACACACATTGGGTTAAGACAGCATTCCAGGATTCACAAATACATTCACCATTCGAGAGGCATCTTAATTGCACATAAAAGTATAAAAACATCGAAGTTCCATAGCGTAAGAAAAGCAAACATCTGAAGAACTCTATCATGAAAAATGCCCAAGGAGTTCAGATCCATTCAAATACACTGTTATGGGGCACCTGGGTGGCTCAGTCGGTCAAGGGTCTGGTTAGGCTTTGGCTCAGGTCGTGATCTTCCATCGTGAGATCGAGCTCCACGCTGGGCTCCGCACTCAGCGGGGAGTCTGCTTGGGATTCTCTCTCTCCCTCTTCCTCTGCCCCTCCCCACCCCCCTTAAATAAATAAATAAATCTTTAAAAACAAAGCAAAACAAACACCACAATGCAGTTTGCTAAGTGTTCTAGCAGAAGTCAGTCCATGCAGCTTGGGAAACACAAGACTGTAGGTACCGAACCCCAGACAGATGGATTAGGTACCCGGAGCAGTGAAAAAGCCAGATTTGCCGGCTCCTGGGCAGGGCAGGCCTGGCCAGGGGCTCCACGTCCTGCGCTTCAGAGGTCACTGCTCAGTCATTTATTCCCTTCTCAGATTTCACTTCCCCCCTTTTCCTCTGCTCTTTTCTCCTTATAACATCTTATGAACATCTTTTTTTTTTAAGATTTATTTATTTATTTGAGAGAGGGAGAATGAGAGAGGAAGAGAGTACATGAGAGGGGGGAGGATTAGAGGGAGAAGCAGGCTCCCCGCTGAGCAGGGAGCCCGATGCGGGACTCGATCCCGGGACTCCAGGATCATGACCTGAGCCGAAGGCAGTCGCCCGACCGACTGAGCCACCCAGGCGCCCCTACATCTTATGAACATCTTTAGGACCTCCCTCCATTTATTCCCTGTTCTCTCTCGCCTCCAGCCTGTTTTTTGGAAGAGAAACAGTAGTAGGTCCCAACTCATGCTGCCGTGGGAATAGGAATAGGCACACCCTTCTGGAGGATGGTGTGTCAAAACCTGAACAATGTGAACACCCTTGGATCCAGCAATCCCATTTTCAGGAATTTATCCTAGGGAAAACATCATGGAGGTGTACAAAAATCTGTCATCAGAGATGCACAAAGATGTTTATGCAAACACTATTTAAAAAGAAAGTACTGAAAACAATCTCAATGTCCATCCAAATGAGATAATTAGCTGAAAAATTATGGTGCACCACCGAAGATGATACTGTTCAGCAGCTATTTAAAGCTATGCTATGATGTTATAAAAATATTCAGTGACACAGGAAAAGCTTCATGGTATATAGTTGAGTGAAGAAAGGAGGGGGCCAAATATTGACAATAAGATCATATATAAACAGAGAGAGGGAATGAGAGAGCGAACTCAAGCGCAAGCACTAGATGACTTTAGCTACAGCACTAACGGCATAATTTGGACAATTATTTATCCTCTGTGAGCTTCAGTTTCCAAACCTATAAAATGGGTATTTTAAGAGCTACTTGACAGGGCTCCATAAGATAATGTATATGAGGCACTTAGCACAGTACCTGGCACATAATAAACTTTCAAAAGCTTTAACAGTGGTTTAGCTCATTGGTTTATTCATTCCCTCAAGTATTTATTGAGAGCCCTTGAACTTGCTACTCTCTCTGGAACTTTGCTTGGTAAACCTCTATTCATTCTTCAGAATTCTGTTTAACTGTACTGTGATGCCCTACCCCTCCTGCATTTTTCAAAATAAAAACACTAAATTTTAGACCCCCAAAATACACGTATGCAGAAATTAAAACAATACCTTTCATTTCACAAATATACAGTTGATCAAAAGAAGCCAGACAAAAGAATTGGAAGCAGGGACTCAGATGCTCGCACATCAATGTTCATAGCAGTACTATTCAGAATAGCCACGAGATGGAAACAACACAAATGTCCATTAATAGATGAGTGGATGAAGAAAATGTGCTATAAACATACAATGGAATATTATTCAGCCTAAAAAAAGGAATAAAATTTTGATAGGGTCAACAACATGGATGATCCTTGAAAACATCATTAAGTGGGGCGCCTGGGTGGCTCAGTCATTAAACGTCTGCCTTCGGCTCAGGTCATGATCCCGGGGTCCTGGATCGAGCCCCGCATCGGGCTCCCTCCTCGGGGGGGAAGCCTGCTTCTCCCTCTCCCACTCCCCCTGCTTGTGTTCCTGCTCTCGCTGTGTCTCTCTCTGTCAAATAAATAAATAAAATCTTAAAAAAAAAAAAGAAAACATCATTAAGTGAAATAAGCCAGATACAAAGAAGGCAATTATTGTATGATTCCACTTATATGAGATACCTGGAATAGGAAAATTCATAGAAAGTAGAATGGAGGTGGGAACAAGGCATGGGTATAGGAAATGGATAGCCGTGATGGGTGCACAAAATTACTAATGTATTTTTTTAAAAAATATTTATTTGAGAGAGAGAAAGAGAGCACACGAGCAGAGGGGAGGGGCAGAAGCAGAGGGAGAAGGAGAAGCAGACTCCCCGCTGAGCAGGGAGCCCAATGTGAGGCTTGATCCCAGGACCTTGAGATCATGATCCGAGTTGAAGGCAGATGCCACTGAGC